AGAGAGAGAGAGAGAGAGAGAGAGAGAAAGAGAGAGAGAGAGAGAGAAAGAGAGAGAGAAAGAGAGAGAATGCAGGGAATCATTTCTGTAGGGGAGTCCTCGAGTTGTGTGTGATGAAGTCAGTTTCATTCAACACAGATGCAGTGTGTAAGTGCATGAGTGTGTTTATGTGTGCACACACATAGGCTGAGGCACCTGGTAATAAACAACACACATGCACACACACACTCACATACACACACACAGGACTAGTGCAGTTTAGCTCATCCCAGCATCAAAAAGAGGTGGTCACATTATAATATTTCAAATTTCAAGGCTGACGATTGGAGATAGATAACAGGGCTGAACTCTCTGTGTGTGTGTGTGTGTGTGTGTGTGTGTGTGTGTCCATGTGTGACTAGGAACAGCAAGAACAGAGGGACTTGTGAGTTTTGTCGACCACATTGTTCATTCTTTTTGTTGCTGCTTTTATCTCTTGCACACTCTTGGTGGTTCTATCGTAGTCATTTTCCATGTTGTTGTGAAACAGCAGTAAAAGCGGCTGTTATTATCACAACACGCCATAAATTCAACGATTGAAATCTCTTTTAATTAGGATGCAAACATTTAAAAAAATGAATCTTTTTTAATTTATTTTATTTAACCTTTATTTAACCAGGTAAAATCAATTGAGAACCAATTCTCATTTTCAATGATGACCTGGCCAAGAGGCAGTAGCACAGTCCACACAAGTTACACAAACAACACAGATACAATACAGTATAACAAACAGTGGAAAAATGACTAAAAACAACCTAGATAAAATAATAAACACTATGTACAAAATAAAAGGCAGATTACTGGATGTTATTAGTAAAAAATGGAAGAAAGAAAGAGAAGTGAGGGCTGGTCAGCAAGTACAGCAGTCAACTATAACTTGTTGCAGCTTATGTTTGAACATGTTGAGAGAGGTGAGAGCTGTTAGTTTGAGTGTGTTTTGTAATGAGTTCCAGTCCTTTGCAGCGGCAAAATGAAAGGAGTTATGACCAAACACAGTACGGACTTTTGGAATGATGAGCCTAATGAAGTCACTGGATCTTAAATGCCGATTGCTGTCAGAAATGCGCAGAAGATTTGAGAGGTAATGAGGAGTCATTCCCAAAATGGATTTATAGACCACAAGCAGCCAGTGTTGTAGCCGCCTGGTATGAAGGGAGGGCCAATCCACCAATCTGTAAAGAGCACAGTGGTGGGTGGTGAAGGGTGCACATGTGGAAAAACGGATTGCTGAGTGGTGGAGTGTGTCCAGTTTTCTGAGGGTGGTCTTTGATGCCATTTTATAAATTATATCGCCGTAATCAAATAGAGGAAGGATGGTCATTTTCACAAGGGTGAATTTGGCAGAGTGTGTGAAGGAGGCCTTATTTCGATACAGGAAACCCAGTCTAGCTTTGACTTTAGCCAGAAGGTTATTGATGTGTATGTTAAATGAGAGAGACGAGTCCAACCAGAATCCAAGGTATTTGTAGGAGCTGATAAACTCCAGCTCCGAGCCATCAGCACTGTAGACCTTGGGAGGGCTGGGAATGATGAGGTTTTTCTGGTCAAACAGCATACATTTGGTCTTTTTGGGGTTGAGGAGCAGGTGGAGGCTGTGGAGAGACTGTTGGATGGAGGTGAGGCTTTGTTGAAGAGTGGACACAGCAGAGTAGAGTGAGGGACCAGCTGAATATATGATGGTGTCATCAGCATACAAATGAATCAAGGAATTTCCTGCAGCTTTTGCTACATCGTTAATATAAATGGAAAACAAAATAGGGCCTAAGATGGAGCCTTGGTTCACAGCGCTCATCTTAGTTCACAGCGCTGTGGTTCTGTATCTCCAAATATTCACAAAGAATCAGTAAGAGTACTAATCGGACCACTGATAAAATAAATCCACACACATTTAATAAAACTGGTTATAATAATAATAAATAACAATAAAACATGAAGTGTGCGTGGCAGAGCACGGAGGAGACGACTTGTATGCAAAATCCCTCCCAGTCTAAGGCAACAAAGTGAAAAGCACCTCGCAGGAATTCCTGCGTTTGTATGCAAGTTTCTAAATGTATCAGAGGCAGAGCCCTGCCCTCCCTTTCTAAATACCAGTCAGTGGTCAGGGGACAATAGAGCGGAACAATAGAGCAGTTTCCGCCCCTGAGAGTTCCACGAGTCCTGGATCACTGCCCTGCTTGGACCAGGTCACGAGGGAGCCGATGACCGGCAAGACACAGAAACAGAGAGAGATCTCCAAAAAAGACTTCAGCAGTCTGAACTGTGGTTATGGGAAAACACATGAAAATCATTTATATTCCCAGAGTGCATTTTGGTTCTTATCTCATACGCCAGACGTTCAGGTTTTTCTGCATTTAGCATTTTTATAAGTTCTTCATTTTTACTCAACATGCACAGTGATAGGCATGGAGCGTCTGGGCAAACAGTGTACCCGATGACCCAAGTGATCAAATACGTTCTCTTTACTGAAAGGATACGACAACTAAAGGTCGATTTTACCCAGAAAGCATTAGCCTCTAGCAATAAGTGTTCCAACAGAATGATTGGTCACTGTCTGATAATGACAATATTACAGGTGACAGGTCCAGGCCAGTTAATCCAGTTTAATGATGGAGGATTCAGAGAGATGTAAAGCAGCTTTAGCGTGTAAGATAGGCTGTTACATAATGGTCATAATGACCACACAGATACTCAGATACACACACACACACACACACACACACACACACACTCCCCTCATTGTGACTGAGGAAGTGTTGATGCACTCACTCTGATGCGATAAGACAGGAGAGGTCATATAACTGCTTGAAAATGTGGCTGCAAAGTAGTCAATATGAAACCATGCACTAAACCTGACAACCTTTTTGTTAACTTGAACTCACTCTTGACTGCGTCAGTCAAACCCGTGTGTGTGTGCGTGTGTGTGTGTGTGTGTGTGATTGACATCTTGATCTTCAGGTAACACTAGAGTCTAGGATCTGTTACAACTGGCCAAGATTGAGGACACGGCGGCGCTGTCAGAACTAAACTAACGATACTCAAATAATACAGAGCAAACAATGTGGACAGATTTCAATGATAAACCATTAACATACACACACACGATAGCGCAACGCATTTACTGGATCAAGTGTCGAAGAGGCGAAGATGGAGAACACACACAAGCTGATGTATGTGATCCCAGTGTACTTTTTATGGCCCTGTAATGTAAAGCTATGCATCATATTTTAAAGTTTATATATTATCTGTGACATAACTTACTGCCAGTTACCATTACTTCAAAGTCACACTTGATACAGAACAGTTCTATAATAAGTAATGTATTAGTCCACCTCTACACACGTTGTTTCCTACTAATTGCTTGATGTGTGGAGTCTATGAGATACTGCAGACAGTCATGCTGTAAATGTGTATGTGAAAAATACAGCGATGTAACTCATTCATTTTTACTGCATCAAAAAGCAGACCAGGATAAACTCAACACACCTCCTGCTCATCACACACACACACACACACACACACACACAC